TAACTGTAGAGCACAGATTTTGATCAATTTGTGTTTTTATGTGAGGTCAGAAAAGTCTTCCTAACAAAGGGGACCTCAGATACAGGGGGAGATGGGGGAGAGAGGGGGGGCAACCTCAGGGGGGAGAGAGAGGGAGAGGGAGAGGGAGAGTGAGGAAGAGGGAGCAAGGGAGAGAGAGGGAGAGAGAGAGAAAGTGTGCAAGTCAGGGTCAGGTCAGGGAGGAAAGGTCACCTGCTGGTGGTGATTACTGGGTAAATACCAACAGTCTTGCTCAATACAGGGTAGAAACTACTTTTAAAACCAAAAGTGGAGAAAGAGATGAGTCAGAGACCATTTCCAAGGAGGTTTTGGGAAAACTCAGCAGTACAGGGGTAGAAAGAACAAAGCTGCCTTTTTCCATTGCTGAAACAGAATACCCATATGCCAGTGTCTTGGGAGTTTAACAAGAAGAGAATTTTCTGGACTGACAAGTCTGAGGCTGAGGAGAGCATGGTGCTGGCTCTGGGTTAGGACATCCACCTGCAGTATAACATGGCGGAACACAGCACATGGCCAGGAGGCAGGGATGTGATACCAGAGTCTCTTTCTCTTATTATAAAGCCACTAATGCCATCACAGGACCCTACCTTCATGATTTCATCAAATCCTGTTTATTCCCAAAACCTCACCTTCAAATATTGTCACCATGTGAATATGGGGATGGAGTGTGCAATGTGTGGACTTTTGGGGGTCACACTACAATCATAGGATAAATGAATAGGGTAGTCTGATGAAGGCGTCTCCCATAGCCTTCACCTTCACATCCAGCACTTCCCAGTTCCATTTCCAAAGAAGAGAATGAGAGGGAGCTGGTCAAAGACAAAAGAGACAAAGTCAAGCTGAAATGCACCGAATGGTGTAAACACCCCCTTTTCAGTCAGTGTTTTTGACCAGTCACACTCTTCTTCCCCAGCCAAAGGAACCTCATAAGGTTAGGGCTGTTTCCTCCTTACTTAGGTCAGGCTCTGTGGGGCCTCTTTCAAGGGCTGTTCCCAGAGACATGGTGATGCAGACTCATTAGAGGTGGTGATGTGGTCTAGAGGAGTCTCACTTCTCAGCTTAATATACACACACCCTCTCTACTCTAAGACATGTCTCCTCTTTTCTCTGCCCATATTTGAACTTCTCCAGGCCCGGTTGAGCTAATGTTTCTCAAAGACTTGCTCTAAGAGTCTGCCCTTGACTTGCAATGTCAGGGACTTTCATCCCTTCATTGATTATCAGTTCTCAAAAAGTTGTAAGCTTTACATGATAAACTTACGTCCCAGAGTCACAAACCCATTTGATTTTTCCACATTGAGCTTTTGGTGTTATTCCAATGTGAATGTAACCGAGTCTGAAATCATGATCTGCCCCTAACCTGCACTTCCTATGATGGTCTCCCCAGTAGATGGCTTCTCTGTCTTGGGTTGAACATGTCAGATTCTGACACCCCACCTCCACCCTCAAACTTTCGTCACTAAACAACAAATGAAGTCTACCATTTCTTCCTTCCAACAGATGCTTCAAGCTCTTCCAATGCTTCTCCATCACACACTACCACAAGACATGCTACCATCACCTCCCCTTTAACCCCCCCCCCATATTCCCTATTTTCTGTTTTTCAGATTTTAGCTAGGTCACACTTTTTAAACAGAGAACCTCACCCAGCCACTTCTTTGGGAAGCTGATTCCCCTTCCTGCAGCCTTGTAGTGTCTGCCCTGGTCCAGGGCTCATGCTCTCTGTCTCATCTCTTTGCTCCAGGTTCTGAGTCATCCATCAGTTCCCAGACAGTGAACATCTGCAAAGGAAGCAAATGGAGTTAAGCCTCAAGATGAGAGGCTGTGGTGGGATGTGCTGAGGGGCTTGCTCAAGTGGAAGACTTTGCAGTTGGCTGCCAGAAAGATCTATGGTATCTCGTCCCACAAAAAGTTGTTATGAGCCATGGAAGTGGTGGTACACACCTTTAATCCCAGCACTTGGGAGGCAGAGGCAGGTGGACCTCTGTGAGTTTGAGGCCAGCCTGGTCTACAAACTAAGTTCTAGGATAACCAGGCCTGTTACACAGAGAAACCCCGTCTTGAAAAACCAAAAAAAGAAAAGAAAAAAGTTCATATGTACTACAAGAGCATGTTTGACGCTGTTTGGATAAATACGTTCCCAGAGGACCACAGTGTCCCTGTGGCACTATTAGAATGTGGTAGTAGAAAGTTTAAGAGGTGGGGCCTGATAGAAGGTAGTTAGGTCATTTGGGGGTATGATCTTGAGAAGAATATTGGGATCCAGCCCCCCTCCCCCTTTTTTGCTCCTCAGATGAAATGAACAGGATTTCTCTAAGCATGTTCCCTTGTAAGGTAAGATGGGCTGCTTGGTAAAGCACAAAACAACATTCCAACCAATCATTGATTGAAACTTCTAAAACTATGAGCCAAAATAAACCTTTCCTTCTTATAAGTTGTTTGCCTCTGGTAGTTTGTCACAGTGCCAGTGACACATTTGATTTCCAGCATAAAGGGTGTAAGTGAATCCACTATATATAAGCCAAAACTTGTCTCCTTGGTTTATTAGGATCTTCACTCCAAATTTGGAATTCATTTTTTCCCTTAATTTGGATCTTGTTCTTAACTCAGTTGACTGCACCACTTTCCAATAAAGACTTCAGACCTTGCCATCACCCATCACTACCACATTCTTTACATGTTCCTGGAAAGACAAGGATATCTGGGAGGCTGGGCATGGCATGATGGAAAGCCCCACTAGAAACATGAAAATTCCAGGAGCATGTTTGGAGTGATGTGTATAAATACTCTTGGCAATACTTTATCTTGAAAAAAAAAAGATGAAATTCTGAGAGTTGGGAGGTGTTATTTCATGTTGATTTTGACTTATTTTCTGAATATTCATGAGATTGAGTGTCCTGTGGCACATCCACATTGACAGTTTGTATATGTGCCATGACGTCTATCCAGTGGGTCATTCGCTTTCTTGCTACTGGGTTCTAAGTGTTTCTTATGTGTTTTGCGTGTTAGCTCTCTATTAGGTGGATGGTTTGCCAGTGTTCTCCCTATCTGTAGGATGGGTTTTAATGTTGATTGCTTCCTGCACTGTGTGGAACTTTGATCCAGTTCCACATGCCTCTCTTTGGCTTTTGGTTTCATGTTCAATTATCTCTAATGCCTATGTCAGAAAATCTCTCTGTGTTCATCTCAGAGTTTTACAGATCTGGGGGAAAGAAACTCACAGAAGCAGAAAGTCCAATGGCGGTGACCTTAGGTAGACAATGGACTTTATATCCTTTGTTCTTTGACACAAAGGGAGCGGGTACTCAAAGGATATAAAGTCTTACTTATACCTAAGGAGTAGGTCTTGTAATGAGAGATGTGGAGGATATAGAGCTGACAGTTAGCAGTACTGTGCTGAGCACTTGATATCTGTAAAGAGGGTAGATTTCATATGAAGTATATTTAAAAAGTAACTAATAGAATAGGAAAGTTCTAGAGTTGGTTGATATAGGAACAGCCCCCATGGGAATGATTTTCTGGGTGTAGGCTCATTTCAAATTCACAAATGGTATATGTTAAATATGAGTACCTTGGTATATATTAGTTATACCTTCTAAATTTTTGAAATTAAAATATAATTACATTTTCCTTTTCCTGTTCTACCCTCAAATCCCTTCCATGTACCACCTCACCACTTTCTCTAATTCATGACCTCTGGCCTCTTTTCTTTAATTTTTGTGTGTGCATGTGTCTGTCTGTGCATGTGTGTATTTCTAAATCTATAGATACAGCCTGCTTAAGTCTGTATGTTGTTATTTGTACACATATGATTTCAAGGCTGACCACTTGGTATTGAATAACCAATTGGGGGACTCTTCTCCCAGGAAGACTGTTTTTTTTTTTTTTTTCCCTATTCTCAGCATTCCTTAGTTGCCTGTAGTTCTTTGTCTAGAGTTGGGGACTTCTATGTTAGCATGCCCGTTGGTGTCATCTTTTTGTTTAGGCAGCTATGTTGTTGAAACTTCATGGGTGTAGGAGATTAGGAGATGTAACCTCACAGCAGACATCTGGTTCTTCTGGCTCTTAGGATCTTTCCAGTCCTGCCCCATCCCCCATTCCATGATACTCCCTGAACTTGGTGCAGGAGCTGTGTTGTAGATGGAGTACTTTGAGAGTTCTCAAAAGGAGAAATAAAAACAGCCAAGAAATGTCTCAAAAATGTTCTTCATTCCTAGCAATTAGGGAAAGAAAATCAAAACAATTTTGAGATTTCTTCTTACCCTACCCAGAATGGCAAAGATCAACAAAATACCTGACAACAAACACTAAAGAGTAAGTGGGGGGAAAGGGATCCCTCATTCACTGTTGGTGGCTCTGGAAATTAGTGTGGAGAACCCTCATAAAGCTAAAAATGAATCTACCATATGACCCATCTATACCACACCTTGGCATTTGCTCAACAAACTTGACATCTTACTCTGCAGATAATTGCTCAGCCATGTTCATCAATAATATCTTATTGAAACTTGTTTTTATAAAGCAAGTTTTGGGCCTGGAGTGATGACTCAGTGGTTAAAAACACAAGCTACTCTTGCAGAGGACCCAGTTTCGGTTCCCAACACCCACATGTCAGCTCACAACTGTCTCTAAACTCCAGCTCCAGGGGATCTGATGCCATCTTCTGGCTACCATAGGCACTGCATGCATGTGATACACATACACATACATGCAGATAGAACACAAACACATTTTTTTCAAGTTTTAAAAGCAAATTGCAAAGCTATATACTTCAAATGGCAGACAATTTAGGCTAGCCTGACAGTTTCTTAAAATATTGTATATAAAGTTAGCAGACGACCTAATAATTTCACTCTTAGGTATTTATCTACACACACACAAAAAATGAGAATGCATGTAACATATGCCCATACAAGGACTTAGATACAAACATTCATAGCAGCATTAAGCAAAAGAGCTAAGCTGGGTGCTGTGGCATGTACCTAAAGTCTCAGTTATTTCTGAGTCTGAGGCAGGAGGACCCCCTGAGTATAGACATTTGAGATCAGCATGGACAATATAGCTTAACCCAGTCTCAATAATAACAGTAGCAACAGTAATAACAATGAAGTGTCTGTATTCCTAAGAGCAAAGAAGTAGAAACAGCCCAAATACCTACCAACTGGCACATGGGTAAACAAACTGCTGTATGGAAAAATACAACTGGCCCTTTCAACAATCATGAATCAAAAGAATTTTTTTTAAAGTGTATCTTTCCTGAATATATATAGACTCTGTCTTTGTTCCCTGAACAGTACAAATGTGACAGCCATCACCCCAGCATTCACACTGTGTAGGTATTATAAGTCATCAAAGTATTAAGCATGTGGGTTATATGCAGACAATATGTAAAGGTCTTGAGTATCTGCATATTTTTGGTCCTCTGGGATTCCAGAACCAATCTCCATAGATGTAAGGAATAGCTGTCTCTCATCATAAAGAGGAACCAGTCAATTACTGATGCATATATGATGTGAATAAACCACTAATGTAATATGCTAAGTGAAAGAAGCCATTTCCCAAAGACTGCCTATTGTATGATTCCATTTTATGTAATTTCCAGAAAAAGCAATTCTGTGGAGACAGAAAATAGATGGGTGGTTGCTGGATTCAGATTGGAATGTGGACTCGGATTGTGGTGATGGGTCACAGCTCCATAAACTCATTGTGAACCATCCAATTGCACATTTGAAAGGAATGAGTGCTCTGGGACACAAATTATACCTCAACAAAGTGGGGTTTCGAAAGTCACATGCTTCATTCCCACCTATACCACAGTGTATTCCACCTTTTCCTCCCAGTCTGGATTTGTCCTACAGGTCTGGTTAGTAAGGAGCATCCTTTGGTTGTGTTCACTGGATATGTTAAAACATTACTGACCTTGAAGGAATCCCAAGTCAAATGCTCCTGTGTAACATCCAGACAGCACACAGACAGTCTGGCTCATTTCAAGATGCATTTAAGAAACATCAGAACCAGAAGAACGGTTTGCAGAGGAACCTCTAGCGGCAGATCCCCTCCTGTTGGGAATTTTAGAAATTTGCCTTGTTGGGAAAGAGCAGCATCCATGATGGAGGCAGAGCAAGACAATGAACAATATATCACACAAGCCAGAAAGGATCAGTTAACCTGGGGCCTGTGAGAGATGGCTCAGCAAAGTAAAGGCCCTTGCCACCAAACCTAATGACCTGGGTTTGATCCTGGGAACACCCCTAGTGGGAGGAGGAAATTCACACCACAAAGTTTCCTTTCGCTGCCACACCCAGGCCATTGCATGCACATACCCTTCCCCCTGAAAAAGAAATCAATGAATAGCTTTTTAAAACTTAAATACAGAAGTTACCTGATTCCTGCTTCTGCTGGAGAGAAGCGTTAAAATCATGTTGCTCAACGGGTCAAATGTCAGGAAAAGACGTCCCACAGGTGCCTATGGAGCATCAGGTAAGAATGCAGGATTCTTCATATCTGACACAGTGAGACCCTCACTAAAGATAATACAAGTGCTAGAAAACCGTCAAGCTTCACTAAAATGGCATGTGTTTGTATTGATACAGGATGGCCCAGGAGGCTGCATTGGTTAATCCTGTCAACTTGACATGATAATAGAGTTACCCAGGAGACAAACCTCTGGGCTTGTCTGTAAGGGATTACCTAAATTAAACTAACGGAGGTGGGAAGACCCACCTTAACTGGGGGTGGCAACAATCCATGTATTGGGGGCGTGGGCTTAATAAAAAGAAGGAAGTGAGCTGACACTGGCATTCGCTGATCCCTGCTTCCTGACGGCAGACACAGTGCAAACAGCTGGCTCAAGCTCTTGCCTTCGTGATTTCTTCTACGTGACGGACGGCACCCTTGAAGTGTGGCACAAAATAAGCCGTCCCTTACACACACTGTTTTTGACAAGAATTTTGTTTCAGCAAAATTCACTAGTACAGTTGTCAATGATGATTTGGGGAAAGGAGAATGGATTTATTTGGTGTAGACACTTCTGGATTGAATTTTAAATAAATACATATTAATTTTGTATATATATAAAAGTGACGATAGCCTGAGGAGGTTGTGTTGTGGCTGCCTGTCAATTCTTTGCTCCTCATAAATGGGCAGGTTGTGTGTCCCTGGTGGGACAAAGCCTAATCTGACATGCCTCTAGGCTCAGTACCCACAGAACTCTAGCCACGTAGTGACGTCTGCCTGCAGCTGCCCATTGGGCACTGAAGATCAATCAGAACCAGTTCCATTAATGAAACACTTCATCGAGGGCGCTGCTTACTGGATTATAGTATTTTCCATTATGGCTCAGACTGGACTAATACATTGTGGAGCAAGGTGATAGTTTCTCCTGGACATGCAATAGAAAAATCTACATAATGGGCCGAGCCTGCTGATGGCTTTTAAAGGTGGCTTTATTTCCTTAATTGCTGGTGGATCGCTGCCCACAAGCCTAGTGGAACATTCCTGCTGGCCCCTGCATTTAAACATCCCCCCTCTTTCCCAGAATGTCACAGTGGCCCCAGGCACAAATGCTTTAGAAACAGTGCTTTGTGTTCTCCGAAGGAGCCCTCTGCGGTACACACATCAAGAGAAGGCTGTGGAACGCCATCTTCGGCTGTCTCTGTTCCAGGCCGGAGGTGGGGACTCTCCACAACTGGTGGAGACAGACTGTTTTCCATCCTGAAAGAGCCCGTGATTTGAAGCAGAGGTCAGAAGGATCTGAAGCCATATCCAGCTCCCAGCTGCTGTGTGGCCTACAAGCTAAGAACGGGTCTTGGCATTCTTAAAATTGTAAAGAGGAAAGAAAAGAGAGGAAAAGAAAAGAAAAGAATAACAAACCAAACCCAGATTTATTATAGCTTACTGCACACAAAGCTGTTATGAACAGAGTTCATATCCCAACATTCTGTGGGATCACAGCCATACCTGTTCTTCACGTATCAGGAAGCAGAATTTCCCATTTGTTGTGAAGTCCTTGTGGCCTGCAAAGCCTGTGTAAGTACTAACTGCCCCTTCCACAGACAGCTTGTGCGCCCTGGCTTGGTGGAGTAGTGCTGGCATGGGGGCTTTATAGCAATAGCTTGGGACTTGATGATGTCCTTTCAGAGTTTAGCAGTGGCAAAGTGCTTCCTTAGTCCAGTGGCAAAGTGCTTCCTTAGAGTGTCTGGGGCCCTGGGTTCCCTCCTCAGCACTGAGAGAAAACCAGTAACAACAATAACAAAATGCATTTTCCTTGTTCAGGGAGTACTTCTCAGGTTCCCAGGGAAGCACAGTTATTTGTCCGGTGGTTAGCTGAGGCGGCCCTCGTTGGCACTGGGCTCAGGAGAGGAAAGTGTGACACTGTGGTACCCTGTCTTCAGAGTTTCCACCAGAGCCAAGCACTGTTCTAGTTCAGTTAGGTTGTGGATGAGACTCTGGTCTTTAGGGAGACACTGAGGCAGCCACAGCCACCATTGACCTATTGGAAGACTGGAGACAAACAGGGAGAGGGCTGGGACCCTTAAGTGGAGGAAATGAGGAGGAACATTCTGAGGTAGAGAATGCAGGGACTCCAGAGGGTGAGGGCAGCCCAGAGGGGGTTCAAGGGGGTGCAGCAATGCTGGAGAACAGGTGCAGGATATTGCATCTGGACCAGAAGGGGGCAACGGCGATGACACAGAACGTGGCTTCCCCTGGGTTCCTCTCAGCTGAAGCTCTCCCACGGGGTTCTATAACACGAATCTTAAACAATCTTATTAAATAAAAAACTTGGGAGCCAGGTATTAGAGTGAATTCTTAAAGATCAGAGAAACGGAACAAGCTACAGCCAAACTCACCTCGACAACTCCTCAGCCGATCCTGTTTCCACGAATCCTCAGACTGAAAGCTTCTGAGTCCTCACCAGAATGGATCTCAGCTGAACTGCTGCTAAAAGCCTAAAGGCTTAAAAGCCTCTAGTTCCTGGTCCTCATGCCTTATATACTTTTCTGCTTCCTGCCATTACATCCTGGGATTAAAGGTGTGTGTCACCATGCCTGGCTGTTTCCACTGTGGCCTTGAGCTCACAGAGATCGGGATGGATCTCTGCCTCCCAAGTGATAGGATTAAAGGTGTGTGTGTGCCACCATTTTCTGGCCTCTATGTATATCTAGTGGCTGTTCTGTTCTCTAACCTCAGATAAGTTTATTAGGGTGCACAATATATTGGAGGACACAACATCACCACGGGTATGCTGTCTCTTCCCTCTTCTCCCAGAACAGTCCGTCTGTACTTGCAATTGTTTATGTCCTCTTGCTACTTAGCAGCGACCTCCATTCAGGCTGGATCAGGTCTCCTCCATTTGCCACCTGCTCAGGGCCTCCTGCTGTACCAGTCAGATGGTGGTACAACGTTGCAGTGCTACAAGCAATTTTGCCAGTAACTTTTCAGGGGTGACTATTACTAGGAAGTTCTTGTCTTCCCAAAATCTCCTGTTCAGGCTATGGTATTGGGAGATGGGGACTTAGAAAAGTGATTATGTCAAGAGGGTAGAACATTCACAAATAAAAAAAAAAAAAAAAAACAATGCTCGTATTAAAAGGATCCCAGGGAGTGCCCTTACCTGCTCTGTGCCATGCACTTGGGGACATGGGTAGAAGGTTCCATACAGCGTACAGGTCCAGGAGACGACATCACCAGACTCATCTGAATCTGCCTGTACCTAAATTCTGCACTTCCAGCTTCCAGAATGGTGAGTAATATATCCCTGTTTGCTGATAACTCGTGCAGTGCAGACTACTCCGTTGCAGTTTTTGAAGGGTCCCAGCGGGGCATCTTCCACCCACTCTATGAGCAGTGAGCTTGAAAGCTTCAGATCTCAGGAGAGGGATTGACTTGATCTGAATCTTGAGACCTGGTGTGGCTGTCAACAGGGCTCTCTGCTCCGGGTACTTGAGAGAGAGAAGCGTTTCCTAGCAGGAGTTCCTCATCTGAATCCCTTACCTGGTCCCGCTCTTGGGCATGTGAGCTGGGCCAGGACCATTTCAGAGGTTGCCTCGTGCCCACAACTCTAGCTTTTTGAGGTGACAAAACAGACTTATCAGGCTGACATCAGCAGCCAGTGAGTTGGAGGGGAAACCAAGAACGTTCCCCAGGGAGCTGGTGACTGTGTGGGGGTTTGATGGCTAAGCTCTTGCCTTGTGTTTACAAACATACAGGGGACTTCACATACAATACGGCATCGACTGCATTTCCATGTCCTTTATGTGCACATTCTCTGTTTGTTAGGATGTTTGAGGCTGCTAGTAAAACAAAACCCAGACTGAGCGACTCTTCGGCAGTCAGGAAGATGTATTGTTCTGCATCACACAGCGAGAAGCTATGCTCATGCCCGAGAAGTGAATTCTTTGTTCTGGGAGATCGTTTTTTGGGGGATGCAGATTCTTTTGCATTCCTGTGGTAGTCTTGTTCTTACATAGGAGACTTTCATAGCTGGCTTGCCTGTCGCAGGCCAGCCTCTTGCAGAGCCAGTCAGATTCACAGATGGTTGACATGCAGTGGAAATAAAGAGACTGGACTCTGTTAGTCCATTTTCTCTTGCCAATACCAGAGGCTAGGTTGTTACAGAGAAAGGGTTTATTTGGATCACAGTTCTGACCCCCAAAAGGTTCATGTATGATGAGGAGGAGTTTCCTTTCTTGCTGCCAGGGTCCCCAGGTGGTGCTGGGTAGATCCTGGTGAGAAACAGGGAACTAGTGTGGGACACAGTTAACCACTCTTATAGCAATCCATTTTTGAGCTAGCTCATAACCATATGGATCAATTGAGCCATTCATGAGGGCAGAGCCCCAATCATCACTTAAAAGTTCTGTCCATTTCCACCTTTGAATATCATAATCACAATGAAAATTAAATTTTAATATATGCTTCAGATGAAACATTCCACATTCAAATAAACCACAACAGATTCTTTCTAGTTTTCTGAATCAGCAAGCAAGCAAACAAACAAAAAATCAAAAACCATTTCTTAGGGACCTCTTAGCAGACTTTTCATGTCTCAGTGGAGTGGATTCAGTTCCTATAGGGTTTTCTTCCCCACACTGGTGGTTACCGATCAGCTGGCCAGAAGCCTTTTGCTTTCCCTGGCAACAAGTGATGGTCTTGGCAGCATTTGTGTCCTCTCAGTTTCCTCACAGAGGCAGCTGCAGGTAGACAGCAACAGAAGGTGAAGGTACCCTGTAGTGTCACAGCTCTCATGCAGGTCTCCACTAAAGGGACCCTTATCTCTGCAGGTGTTACAGCTTTGAAGTACACCTAGAAAGTTGGGACTCCTTAGCCCTTGGCACATCTTGCCAGCTTGTAGCTTCTAGGCAGGGCTGTCAAGATTCCCCTTGACAACAACCAGAGTTACATCCTCCAAGCACAGGGTACTTGAGATCTTTTTCTTTTTAAGGGTGTTAATTAATTTTTATCATGTTTCTTTAGTGGATACAGAGATAAAGTCTCATTTGGAATGAAAGCAGGCTTCATAGGTAGCCAGGATCTGGGTGAGTGGTAGATGACGGTGGTAGTGTTTTATAGATCCTGTTGTTCCATGGGCCAAGGTAGCCTCTATCCCAATAAAGAGACAGATGCCAGGGGTTTCACAGAAAGGATCTGATGATTGTGTAACTCTGATGATTTTATATAATTAGATTTATAATAAAGGATAGACGCAGAGGGTCTATAGTTTCTCTTCTCTGGCTCTTAGAACCTTCTCTCCTCTGGCCTGTGCCTTCTGTCCTTTCTCTACACCCACCGTCCGTCCCTCTTCTTCCTGCTCTGGACATTGTCTTGAATTATTATCTTCCTTTTCTCAGCTCTCAAGGAGCCAGTTGCTTTTGCCTTTTTTTAGCCTGGCCGATGACCACTGTGCTGCCTCTGATGCTTCTTTCTTCATGCTGTCAGCTCAGGAGACCGCCCAAGGGAAGCCTTTTCTTGGGCTGAGTGTTAAAATCCCCAAACAGCCTTCTCCGACAGCTTGAGAATGGGAGTTTGCACCAGTGGCTGCAAACAGTGGGTGCAGACCAACCGAGGCACTGCTGCTTTTGTGACAATCACAGGAACCCTTCTGCTAGGCCGCCAGAGGAGACCACCTCTGGCCTAGATGGAGACGGTTTGCAGAGATCTGTAGGAGCAAAGGGTCTGCTACAAGCTAAAACAGTTCTGGCTGAGGCTGCACCCTCGGGAGTCAGAACAAGCACGTATGATCTTTGTGGAGTTTCCTCCAGGCATCATAGAGTACTCAAAATAGCTGCTGTTGGCCAAAAGCTAGTCTGACTGGTTGTTGGATTGACAGTCCATGTGCTCAAAATCAAGGGAGAGTCCAATAACTTTCAAGTAAGAAATCCAATTGCACCATTCACCACCGTCTTTGCCCTCTTGCAGAAATTGGCCATCAGAAAACACGCTTCATTTGGGATGCTTTAGATATGCTGGAACAATGCTTCTCAGCTGACAGTGATCCAGTGAGGGTGGGTGCCCCTCGTTTGTCTCAGTCCTGGTTACCGTGGATCCCTGAGTGCACTGAGGTCACAGCAGTAAAGAGAGGCTGGGCAGATGGAAGTTGCTTACAGCAGGTACAGCTTTAAAAAAAGAAGATTGCAGCCATCACATACGGCATCTACTTTTTGCTTTTAAAGTGCAACCAGAATTTATTTCTTTCATGACACCATGAATAACCCATTTCTTAGACTATGTAGCTTGGTTCATTTAGGATTTCTTCTAGTGACAAATAACAACACTTCTAATTTTCTCTGTCAAAACCCTCGAATTTGTGGATTAAACTTTCTGTTGTGAGAAGCTGCTAGACTGAACAAATCTCTAAGCCTAGCTTTGTAGCCTCTTGACTCTGGATTTCTAATTGTGAAGCAAGGGGCTCCTGGCCTGTAGCTATCTCGGGTATGACTGTATTTATTGCCGTCCTTGAATGTACAGTGAGTATTCTACCAAAGTATGTTTGAGTAGCTGTCTCCTCCAGCTCCAGGGCTCAGCCAGCTTTTGTTTCTAACCACTTAGCTTTAGTTTCCAAAGAACCATAACTAGTAATCACTTCCCTTTGATTCTAAGGAAATGCAGATGCTGCTGAATTTAGAGCGGGGTGTGGGGAGGCTCTCTCCCATTGGCTAGACTACAAGACATCATAAAGCAGAGGAACCTGGGAATATTCCAGTGATGTTCTACAAGCCAACAAAATACGGGCCTGGGCAAGCTGCAGAAAAGCCAATGACAAGCCCAGCTGCTTCACCAGCACCACAAGGACCTTCTGAGACAAGGACTCTGCTGATGTGCTGTGGTGAATTTGACTAGCTCCATGTTTTCCAGCATTCAGTTGGTTTAACTGAATCTGGCAGGCCACCTAGTACTGAGATGGCTCTAAAGGACTCTTTGGTAGGGATTTTGCCCCGTCTTTGCAGATCACCACCATTGCCATGGCTTGACTAATCCCACCTTTCATTGCGGGTTTCTATGTCTTTTCAACTACAGCAACTTAATCACCTCTACAACTTTGCTTGTAATTTACTCAGTGGGATAGCTTGAATGTGTTCCTTCAAAGCTTGTATATTTGAACCCTAATTCCTCAGTATAGTAGGTAGGGTCTGGGAAGGCACTTGAGTTAGGAAGAATGCCTTATGAAAGATTGATGCCTTTCTCAAGGGAGTGATCAGCTATGGAAATTTGGTCTTTTCTTCTACACATATCTACGTGTCCTTATGCTTCCAGTCATGAAGCAGCCAAGACCGTAGGCTCATCAGATGCCGGCTCCATTCTCTTGGACTTCCAAGCCTCCTGTACCTTGACCAATGCCATGTCTTTCCTTTATAAACTACTGTATTGTCACAGCAGTAACAAATGAACCACGACGCTCAGTTTGCTCATAATTTATACTTCCTCTCTTCTCTAGACTCCTTATGGAGTGACCTGTATATGGTGTCTCAGTATCATTTTTTGTTTCCATCCCATTGTGTTGGCTACTCAATTAAAAAAAAACTTCTCAATACATATTCTTGAGAATAGAATTGGATCGGCCCCATTCCACCACCCGATCATGCATTCAAAGGCCTTCCCTTCTTTAGTCAGCGAGCCTAGCTTAGAGAATGGTGTTGTTCCATTAAACAGCACCTTGATGCCTGGGGCTGTACCCTGTGGAGACACGTAAGTCAGCAGGATTCCTGAGAAAGAGTTGGTTGTTGGTCAAGGAAGACAGCTCCACTTTGTTTTGTCCTGTGAGTTTTATGTCACCTCGCTTTCCCACTTGATTACTCCGTTTTCCTCACAACATCCATCCTGCTTCAGTCACTTGCCCATTCATTCACGTATTCACAAGTCATTCAACAAATATTTGAATAATTCATTCCATGTTTCAGGCATTGAACGAAACATTGTGGTATAAGATAGAAAAGCCACATTTCCCCAGCAGGCTCTTCCCATACCTGGGGCCTCCACTTACGCAAAGCCTCCCTCCCTCGTCACACAGCGGGCAGGAATGTGGGCTGCATTGCCCAGGCCAGGAGCTTGAGAGCCACAGCATCTCCTTTCTGGTCTTGGCTCAGCCTCCTCCACCTTCCTGGCAAGCATGGCTTGCATGTGTCTCGGAGATGACTGCCTGTGGCTTTCCATCTCTGCCTCGGAGAATGCTCTCACTTGTCCCTGGCTACCTGTTGACGTGGGTGCTTTCATTTTTACATCATAACTTTAGCATATATGTCTTTAAAAGACAGCCCAATGCAGATAATACCCACTGGCCGAGGGTTTGCCATGCTTATCCCACCCACAGCCTGGTAGAAACCCCTCACTGATCTCTAGTCTGAGACTCCCTGAAAGCACATTCAAGGAATCACCAGCTGTTATGGGTTTGCACTTGAAATGCCCCCCTCCATACCTGACTCAGGTTTTGAAACCCTGTTCTCTAGATGCAGTTCTTTTTGCCAGGTCTACAGAACCTGTAGGAGGTGGGGCCACTAGGGATGGGCCCGTGAGGGTCACAAGCAGCCAGGCTCCTGATGGACGTCCTGTTTCCCATCTGCTGTGATGTGGACAGCCTCTGCATGTCTTCCCACAGCCATAAACCGGGCCACCACTGTGCCTTCCCTGCCATGATGGGCTCTGACACTGGGAGGCAAAGCAAGCCTTTCTTGCTTCTATCAGGTATTTGCTCACAGTCTCTTGTTTCTATCAGGTATTTGCTCACAGTCTGCACAAGTTACCGATATACCAGCTGAGTCGGGACTAAAGCATGTTTTTGTAGCATGGATCTTAAAAGGTCTTATTAATAAAAATAAACCTGGAGCCAGGTATTGGGATGAATTCTGAAAGATCAGAGAAGCCGAACAAGCCACAGCTTCCTCGCCTTGACAGTTCCTCAGCTGATCCTGCTTCCTCAGACTGGAAGCCTCTGAGTCCTCATCCAGAATGGATCTCAGCTGAATTGCTGCTCAGAAGCCTAAAAGCTCAACCAGGCTCTAGCTCCTGGTCCTCACGCCTTATATCCCTTTCTGCCATCAATTCCTGGGATTAAAGGCGTGTGTCACCATGCCTGACTGTTTCCAGTGTGGCTTTGAACTCACAGAGATCCAGACAGATCTCTGCCTTTGGAATGCTAGGATTAAAGGCGTGAGTGCCACCATTTTCTGGCCTCTATGTCTATGTAGTGGCTGTTCTGTTCTCTAACCCCAGATAAGTTTATTAGGGTGCACAATATTTTGGGGAACATAATATCACCCCATGTTTTGAGTAATCTAATATCAGTGTGGCATTTACTTCACCATCTACGTTTGTTGGTAAGTTCTTCTCACTCTCATTTTAAATTTGATTCTTATTTTCTCTATTATTATAACTTTGAGGCAAGAGGAAAAAAAACTTCCCAGTGGGGGGGGGGGTCACTGTAGTCAGCATGTGTGGTTCTCGCCTCGCTGTTTTCAGTAAACACCTGGGACCCTTGGTGCACTGTGATGTGAGGTTTAGTTCACCGTTTATCTTTCCTCTCGGGGGTGTGATCACCTGAGGTGGTTATGTTATGGTGATAATAGGAACATCGTTTGTAGCTGAGTTCTTACAAGTTCCCACAGGCAGCCCTGGTAGTCATAAATCTCAATGCCATGTGAAGTCTGTTTGCACCCAGGGATGGGATCCTTCCACCTACCTCACCCCTGTTAAAAGCATTTCTTGGAAGCACCCGCTTTCCTGTCCCTTCAAGAAAGAAACTGGCTTTCAATTAAGCCAAAACTGGTTTGTTTTAGAAAATATTGGGCTTAGGGGGCATCTGTTGTTTCTAAATACAAATAGCATCTGTATCAAATGGCTTTCTTTTTTAATTTTTAGTGCCTAATGAGCACCAAATTGGTTAGGTTAAAAGCAATTGCTTCCTAAGAAATGAACCCTGCCAGGCCGTGTCCTGGAGTGAGACACCACTGTGTTTATTGGTGCTTATCTCAGCCAATCACAGGCCGATCTCTTGTTCTTTGCCCCTCCTCTTCCCCCTTTCCTGCTTCCTTTCCTTTGCTCAAATCAGCTTCACCTACTATTATGAAAAAAAAAAAAATCCTTTTCTAGCATCTATATTCCAGCATGTCACCTCATAAAATTCCTCTGGGTATGCTGTTTTAAAATGAATGCTCAAATAAGCAAACCTCAAAAGGTCACCCATACACAGACACTTTGGACGCAAGCATGCACCCACCCAGGCACATACAGAGAAACACAGACACATGTAGTCACGACACTCCAAGAACCCTCAAACTAGGAAATTCAGAGTTCTGAGTTCTGCTCCGTTTTTGAATCATGGTTTCCAGAGTCATAGTTACACATGGCTCTTAGCTGAAAATGCCACTCTGTCCCCTGCATAAAGTTAATGCTAATGTTGCTTCAAAGGAACGAAGCTGTTTCTCCTTGAGTGGCGTGTGCACATTGTAATTCCCCAAGCCTATTCTTAGAAGATCTAGGTGGTGTTGGGCATATTCTTTTGTAGAATAATGGGGTGTTTATGTTACACAGTCCCATTGTGAGATCAATCAGTCCCTGCCAGGGTTTATAAACATTGTCTGCAGGTGGTCTTGGCAGGGCATCCCAGAAGACAAGACTTCATTGTCTGGAAACAGGCCTGCATAGCCCAGAGCAACATGGCCTGTGCTGTGGACACAGCTTTTTGCAGGCCAGACAGTTACTAATGGAGTCATAACAAGCGATTCTTTGCTCCTCCTCCAGGGCCTCCTGAGCAGTGGCCTTCTGAGGACCAAGAACTGAGGGAGCATCAGAGAGGGAGAGGTGGCCAGATGCTCGCAGTCTGGGAGCCTTTCTCTTTGCTTCCAAGCTCCTCTCTCCTCATTCTTCTTCCCTGAAGAAGGTGAATTTGGTATGTTTCTCTCTAGCTGTAATTTTTTTTCCTAGTTGCTCTTGTTTCTTAAACAGCAAAGACAAATAATGAGGTATAATTTGATGGCTTCATATCCTATTTAACTTTCCCAGAAAACACACACTTAACCTCACTTAACACCACCTGGTGAGAACTGAAACCAGGCTACTGTGTATCACTTAAGGATGCAGGGGAAGGAAATGGGGGAGAAGGAAGTGTGCATATTTAGGAGGCCAGCCATTATTGTGCTTTGTCCTCTCATTTCTATTCACTCAGCACCAGTTTCTACGCTCATGACCATGTGACCTCAGAAGCAAATGACTTCTGAAGCCAGGAGTCAGAAGATTCAGCGTCGAGGGCCACCTTTCATTGAATCAGTTGTCTTATCTCCCAGCACACCTTCAGCCCCTCTTGGTTAAGAAAGTCCTTTGTCCACGAGAGGGGTCAGTCTAGATGGGCTCTACTGTGTCTTTCTGCTTTCCATGGTCTGTTATTCCATATTTCATACTGCACCCTGCTGTGTGCTTCTGGCATAGAGTTGGCTTCTGCCCAAGACTATGCTATTGGCCCAGGGAAAATAAATATGTCTGGGGCCTGTGCAGTCATGGGCCTTGCTTTATATAGTTTTAGGGGGTGTTCAGTCTATCTTGGTGTCTCACAGTAAGACCCCCACCCCAGCAGAAATCCATTTTCAAAGAGGAGTGTTAAAAGATGTGGTGTTATCCAGTAAAGAATGCTCTGTGGAGGGTGACATGTTGTTTTTAGTCCCCTGTAATTTATCTTTCAACAGAGGGCAGCCTGGAGAAGAAGCAATAAACTATGGCTTGCAAATGTCAGGGTGTTGATTCCCAAGGTCAGTGTCCAGACCCTCCTTGATGGGGAGCTGTTGTCAAGCATGAATACTTTAGAGTCTCACTGATTGTTTCTTATCTCTGAAAACCCAGTCTATGAGAAACTAGATAAACACTGTTAGTTTGGGTCTCAACTGTCCCCTAGAGGCCCATGTTCCCAACCCAAGGTACTACTGTAATGCGGTAGAACCTTTAGGGTGTAGAGCTGAGCCATAGGAAGTCAGGTCATTGGAGACATGATCTTGAAGGGATCCTGACCTCTTCTCAATCCTTTCTTCACTTATGCTCACCAGAAAATGAATGGCTTCCTTCACTACCTGTTCCTTCCATGACATTCAGCCCTGTCCCAAGGCAAAGTCTGAGCAACCATGTATGGACACCTCTGAAAACAGGCATGCTGGCTGGTTTATGTAGACTAGACACAAACCTAGACATATTTGGGAAAATGGGATCTTAATTAAGAAAATGCCTTCCTAAGAATGACAAGTTTGTAGAACGTTCTCTTGATTAGTGATTCATGTGCCCATTGTGGGTACTACAATTCCTGGGAAGGTGGTCCTCATCATATAAGAAAGCAGGCTGAGCAAGTCATATGTATCAAGCGAGTAAGCAGTATTTCTACATGGCTTCTGCCAGTGCCTGTCTTGAGTTCCTGCCCTAACTTTCTTTGATGATGGACTGTGATATTGAGGTCTAAGTGAAATAAACCCTTTCTTCCGTTAGTACTTTTGGTCGTGGTGTTTTATCACAGCAATAGAAAGCTAACTAAGACACAAGGAAACCAAGGTAAGTGGACCCATCTTTGTCAATTTTCACTGCATGGAAAATGACTAGCACAACACTCTGATAGACTCCTATTTGGATGAAACTGAGGAGGAGAAACCTACTTCAGTTAAACCAAACATACCAGACATGGAGATCAGTAATTAACCTGAAGGGTTTGAAGCTGGTTAGTGGTACTATATAGTCTCTTCCTCGGGTGATCTGCTTCTGTGGTGACAAGAAGTATCCTTGAATGATTTCTGCCTGTGTTGCCTATGCATTGGGAGAGTAAGTAAAGGCCCTCCCGGGCTTTGACTGGTTAAACTCTGGTGTTTGAGTGCTTGAGCTGAAAGCCTGAGACCCAGACTTGTGTCTTCTGTCTTATTGCCACCAAGTTTAATGAACCTTCTCCATAGTTGTGATATATCTTCAGATGACTTATGCAAGGATTTGAATGGGAGTCCTTTACACTATTCGTGTCTTTGTATGAGACACACCAGAGCCAAGCACACCAGAGCCAGCTGTGGCTTGGCTCTGGTGTGTCTCCCAAGGTGCGTGGGCTGGTTGGTGATTTAGTCTCCAATGTATCATTGCTGAAAGTTGGGAGAGCCTTTAACAGATGTGGTCAAGTAGAGGCTGATAGACTGTAGAGTGATGGACACCAGCCTTAAAGAATGTTAGTGCCCATGTTGTGGTAGTGGGTTAGGTATCTCAGAAGCAAAACTGTCTTTGTTATACATACCAGCTTGTCTGCCATGTGCTGCTGAGTGGATCTTTGCCAGATGCCAGCATGTGCCTCTTTGGACTTTTCAGCCACTAGAACCATGAGCCGTTCGACCCTACTTTATTTATATTTGCTTAATCTGAATCTGGGGTGCTGTGCTGTTAGAGCATTTGTTTCGTTTTGTTTTCTTTTACGGAGGGCATTTAAGCCCATTTTTGTTGCTGCTTGTCTGACAGAGGAGAGATGGTGAGTCAGCTATGCTGACCCATCCATCCCCCAGGAATCATTCTCGATATACTTAAACAGGCATTCTTGTACTCATTTCTCCTGTCTCTGGCCTGCTCTTCGACTGACTTGCCTGGCCATTTTCTAGCTTTTAAGCCATTACTTTATCTTTTTTTTGGTGGCAATTCCTCTCTGATCTGCTAGCTGCAAGGCAGTGGGCTTCTGGGGTCCAGGGAACTAGACATACAGTCTAAGAAAACACACACCTTTTCCAGAGAGAAACCTGGAGGACAATGAGAGTTAAACGTGTGCTTGGGAGGTCTCCCACAGCGGGAAGAACACAGGTCAGACACTGAAGATGGCAGGAGCCTAGACTTCCATCCCATCTGTACGGTGCTAAGCTAGTGTCACCTCTACGGGCCTTTGAGTTCCTCACTTGTGAGACAAATATGAGCTACAGAATGACTTCTAAGGTTACTTTCAGCACAAATATGTTATTGTTAGAATTCTGCCCACACTCCAGCTGTATGACCACATATGCGCAGTTCAGGAGTTAAGCAAAGGGTCTTGCGTCTTACATCATCAGTATGTGCGTGGTCACACAATCAGCACACGTGTGGTGTAGCTCTGTAAGCCACCTGTGCATGCTCACTGGGAACCCTTAAAAGGCCAGACACAGACCCCACCCTCTCTCTCTGTTCTGCTCTCTCTCCCCCCACCCTTGTTCCCTCTCCCCCCACCCCACCATCTTTCTCTCTGCCTTCTGCAAGTGCTCTTTCCCAGGCCTGGTTCTCACCCCTCCCTCCTCCCAATAAAGCTCTCTGCTACCAGGTAGCATGGCTGTGGCTCGTGACCTTTTCACGTGGTAACCAGCACCGTAAACAGCCCTGTTTATCATTCATTTCAGTTATGATGATGTAGGTTGAAAAAGAGGTGGGTTTGATGTGTGGGAGAAGGAACTAAAATAGGTATCTGCATCCTACACCTTTGGATGATTGCCATTTGGTGATCTACCAGAAACAAAGATAGGCAGGGTGAGGTGAGTGTCTCAGTGCTAGAGTAATTGCCTAGCATGTACATAGCTCTGAGTTTAAACTCTGGGACCACAAAAGAAAATAGAATTGGGTTGGGGGGAAGGGGAAGGGACAGAAGCTAAGGACAAAGATATCAACTTGGATATGAACACTGCTCAATTAATTAAAAAAAATCCATTTTCCCGATACTTCACTGTGAGTCAGGGACTGGGTCTGGCTTGTTCACATCTGGGGAAACACTGGTATAGAGAATGCTCCCAGTGTATAATTACTGGAAGAATAGAAGGTTAAATGAAACCACAGTGGTTACCATTGCTCCTGCTATTCAGGCCCTTACCAGTCCATCTGATGATGTGTCTGCTTATGTTAGGCCTCTGTGCACAGCTTATGGTAACGTTTTCAGCCAGGATATGTGTGTATGGCAGAAGCAATAGTGATCTATTCAAAGCCTGGCTTTTGTCTTAGTTAGGGTTCCCATTGCTGTGATAAAACACCTTGACCACAAGCAACTTGTGGAATAAAGGGTTAATTTCACTTCCACTTCCACATCACAGTTCATCATCCGAAGAAGTCAGGACATAAACTCAGGACAGGAACCTGGAGGCAGGAGCTGAAGCAAAGGCATGGAGGAGGGCTGCTTACTGGTTTGTTCTCCATGGCATGCTCGGCCTGCTTTCTTATACCATCGAGGACCATCCGCCCAGAGGTCACACCAACCACAGTGGGCTGGGCCCTGCCACCTCAATCATCAAAGAAGAAAGTTCCCAACAGATTTTCCAACAGGCCACTCTTATGGAGGTATTTCTTCAATTAAGATTCCTGCTTTCCACATGACCCTAAAGTGTCAAGTTGGCACAAAAAACTAGCCAGTACAGCACTAGAAATAGACAGGGGAGGATTGTCCCCAGGTACCTGAGGAAACTATTTGGCTATGTGCTTTGGTTTCAGTACTTGTAAATGGGATTAAAGATGTGGTCACCTGATGTTTTTATGAGTGGCTTTCAGAAGCAATCTAGGAAAAGTGAGTGTCATTGCCAAAGCTCATAGAGAAATATATAGTGTGATTATGCCCTAATTCATAGCAGCACATCACCGCTGCCATAATTTTGTGACCTGGTATCTCATCTAGCAAAGGATGCTGTCTTAGTCAGTTTTCAATTGCTGTGAAGAGACACCATGACCAAGGCAACTCTTATGAAAGAAAGCATTTAATTGATGTTCATTTACAGTTTCAGAGGTTTAGTTCATTATCATCATGGCAGGAAGTGGAGCAGCACACAAGCAGATATGCTGCTGGGTTGGTGCTGAGAGTTCCACATCTGTATCCTCAGGCACCAGGAAGAGAGAGGGAGACACACAATGGGCCTGGCTTGGGCTTCTGAAACCTCAAAGCCTACCCCAATGACATACTCCCTCAACAAGGCCACACCTACTCCAACAAATAGTGCCACTCTCTAAGCATTTAAATATATGAGCCTATGGGGACCATTCTTATTCAAACTACCACAGATGCCATCCGAGAAATACAGATTTAGAGCATCAGATGATGGGCCAGCAGGTATAGGGCTGTGAGTTTATCAATGAGGCAGGAGGAAAAAGTAGAAAGACCAGAAAGTGGAGACTGACTTCTATTCCTAGAATGATGACACCCCTTGCCAGGCCAGAATTTTCAGAGGCTCTTCTGTGATGTCCTGATAAAGGAAGCTTTACAATACCCCCACAGGCCAGGCAGTGGTGACCCATGTCCTTAATTCCAGCACTCTGGGAGGCAGAGGCAGGTAGATCTCTGAGTTTGAGGCTACACTGGTCTACAAAGTGAATTCCAGGACAGCAAGGACTAAACAGAGAAACCCTATCTTGAAAAAACCAAGCCAAACCAACCAAACAAACAAAACAAGCAAAACAATACCCCCACAGTTTCACACAAGTGAGCTTAAAATGTAGGTGGCGGTTTGCTAGCTTAGCAGGAGCCACGGTGCTCACCTCTCAGAGCTCTGGAGCCCAGAAGTGCTGAGGCAGGCATACCAGGGCACCAGCTGAGGTCAGAGAAAGATCTGTGTCTTTAAGATGTTCACAAGCCTCTGCCTTCGGCATTTGAATGAACCAAGAAGGCTGTGGAAAACACACATGCCAGACACAGCCACATGCAAGTGCCTCACTCCAGTGGCCGCTGTAGTTGGGTACAGTGCCTCCAGTGTGGGGTAGATTTCCAGGAAGGAATCCACACTGAGCTTGTCTTCCCTCTCAAATAATCATCTCTAAAAGAGACATGGGAGTTTGAACCATCTTCTCTCTTCAAGATGGTCAGATGTTCTTGACACACTTTCTTGCTCTCACTCTGCTTCTCTTTCTTTGTGTTCTGTTTCTTTTTCCAGAATGTTCGTTTTCAACTTTCATCATCTATAAAGGAAAAAGAAGACATAAGGGTGAGTTGAAATGGTTACCTGGCTTTCTCCTCTTCTCAGTTTACTGAAGAATTGGTGTGATACGATAAAACCACACTTACAGAAAACCTTAGTGCTGAGCCCTGACCACCATCCATGTGCTCTAGAAAATACCTCCTCAAAACATACCATGGCCGCAAGCCCTGAAGCCTGGGATCCTTAGAAAATCATTAGAGGTGGGGAGAAGCTGATCAATGGTCACTGTTTTCACAAGGGAGGAAAATGTGCTTCTGTGTGTTACAGGACAAGGGATGACCACACATGATGCTTGCATCTGGGTTTTAAAAGCTAGAAAGGGTTTTGAATGTTTTCATCACAATGAAATAATAAAGGTTTGAGGGTTCAAACACACACTGTATGTACATTTCAAATCATGACATGGCACCCGATAAGTATGGGTGATTTTATGTGTCAGTTAAATATTGACTACTTGGATTATTTTGGGAAAAGATGTCATCAGAGAGGGAGGAGAGACGGGCAAAAGATGAGCTGAGAAAACAAAAGATTGAGTGTTACATGTGTTTGCTTGCTTTAAGTGACTTCTCTGATTTTAATCACAAGTGAGGGGTAAATTCTTCCATCTCTGAAACGCTCAGTGGCTCCTATGTAAACTAGCCAACCGTGCTCAGACTGCGAGCCTCGGCATGTCTCCAGCTGCAGAACAGCCTGCTGGCTTTGCTCTTAGCAATCGCTGTGAAGTTGCCTCCATTAGCCGGTTTCTGAGCACCAAGCAATGTGTTGTCTTGATTGACATGATAATGTCGAGTGCACAGTTCTTTGGTGACACTGGGTGTTTGCTTCACTCTAATTGACCCCAGGAAGTTGAGGTATCACTCTTCCTCGGGAGTGAAAAAGCCCCCGCTTCTGCTGCTGCCCCCCTGCACTGACTCCAGCCCCACAGATCCACTCTGCACCAACCTCAGCCTTCCGAAGGCTCAGGGGCTGTAGCAAGCACTTACTTCTTGGGTTTATTTTCAGTTACCCCTCCCTTCTGCTCATTTATTGCGCCAAGCCTTGGGTCAGGGTGTTGATGAGCATTCTACTACCATGAGATTTTAATATAATTGAAATGAATTTTTTTTTTTTCGAGACAGGGTTTCTCTGTGTAGCTTTTGGAGCCTGTCCTGGATCTCACTTTGTAGACCAGGCTGGACTCGAACTCACAAAGTTTCGCCTGGCTCTGCCTCCCGAGTGCTGGGATTAAAGGCATGTGCCACCACCGCCTGGCTTGAAATGAATTTTAACAATCACTTCTTGTTGTACAATTTTCAGTTTGGCTAGCTATTCACATGTTCACATATAGAAAAAAAAAGTATTACTGTGTCTGTCCTGGCTAGTTTTATGTCAACTTGACACAAGCTCGAGTCATCAGAGAGGAGGGAGTTTCAACTGAGAAAATTCCTCTATAAGATCAGAAGCAGGCAAGTCTTTATGGCATTTTCTTAATTAGTGATCAATGGAAGAGAGCCCAGTTCATTGTGGGTGGGGCCATTCCTGGCCTGGTGGTTCTGGCTTATATAAGAAAGCAGACTGAGCAAGCCATTGAGAGCAAGCCAGTAAGCAGCACCCCTCCATGGCCTCTGCATCAGCTCCTGCCCCCAGGTTCCTGCTCTATTTGAGTTCCTGTCCTGACTTCCTTCAATGATGAATAGTGGCATGGAAGTATAACCTTTTCCTTCCCAACTTGCTTTGATCATGGCATTTCACCACAGCAATAGTAACCCTAACTAAGTTAGTATCTATTTTTCTATTAATTTCAACTTATTTATGTTCTCTCATATTACCTAGCTATGTACTGCGTGGTATTCACTTACTAACAATGCAGCATTTTGAAAGAGATAATTTATTCATTGTACATCAAATTAACTTAAATGAATTATGTTAGTATACTATGATTTGTGGAGGTTACAATCAGCATTAAAGAGAGATGTCACAATTCATTTTTACTATTTTTACTTCTGAAAATTACCTCAAGAAATTATGAGACTTTTGATTTATTATTAGAACCTTGTTAGTATCTATTAGGAATGTCACAGATATTGTTCATGATAACTGATATCTAAAATAAGTATTTAGAGCAACATTATACATGATAACAAATATCTAAAATAAATGCTTAACAATTTTTATTTTATGATCCTTCATGGTGCCAGTTTGATGGTGTAAAGAGAAAAAGATTGGCAAAAATCATAAGCAACATAACTGTATAGAAAAGTATAGACTTCTAGAGTGATTTCCAGGATACTTTGAATGAAATATTAAGCAATAATATGGCTTGGACAATTTTACATAAAAAACCAGGGCAACTTTAGTTAGTCGCATTGTATTAAAAATTACAATATATTTTTCATGACCCACTGAAGTATAAATCATTCCTTTTATGGCATAATTTACCTTGGAGATGGAGTTTATAAAGGAAAGATAGTTATCAGTCTATGCTGGAAACACCATTTTTCTCCTCTTAGGGAAAATAGGAGTTCCCTCATGCTGTGATTGGGGGAAAATCATGACCCCCATGTTCCTGTAAGTAGGGCATTTCTCACCTAAAAGTCTGAAATCCCAAGTTATCTTAACTTTGAAACTTTTTGAACCAGACATGATGTCATGCATGGAAAATTCTACTCCTGATCTCATGTGATGGATCATGTAGGTGCATTAAAAATGTTGTATGAGATTCTCTTTATGTGTGTAAGGCATAGATTAAATAAGTGAATTTCATATTTAGATTTGAGTCTAATGCCCAAATAGTTAAAAAAAAAATCTCAACACTAGAAACATCCCTGGTACCCAGCATTCTTTCTACTTAAGGGACACTGCCAGTATGCAGCAGACGACAGCGATGATTGTGTGTTGGCTTACACAATGTTTTGTTGTGACTTCTATTTCTGCTTCCTGTCCAGTGTGTTCCTCTAATAGTTGACCCTTTTCACTCTTCACTCTGGGTCCCGGCTCTGTGTCAAGTGGAGGTCACATTCTGTTCCTATGTGATGGTGTCCCAGTGTCTGGGCAGTGGGCAATGGCTGAAGGCCAGAACCAGGTTTCCGGTTCGCACAGAGGGATTGCAGCAATGTGTGCTACCTCCATCCTTCTCCCAGTGGGATTTGAGAACTGGTCTCACTTGGGCTCAGGACAGAAGAGCTGTCAGACCACTGCCTCTGCCAGCCAAGCAATAGAAGCAGCCATCATGCTGGGACATCTATCCCAGGCTCTGATTTCCTTTGTGACAAAGTGGCGGCATGGGCGTCTTCCTTTTAATGCCTGTTTTATGGAGGGATTTCAATTTCCCTGGCTTCAGCTGCCTACATTAACCCAGAATTCTGTTCTCACCCCCTTTTTACTTTCCTTGAAGTCA